TAAAGTTTGTAGGTCTATTTTCAATTTGTTTCTTTGATATAAATGACTATATAGGTGTAAAAAGACTGCCTGCCACAAAGGGTTCAATACATACTTACAGAACTGAGACAAAGAGCTTTATATTGTCATTTACATTTTAGAAATGCTAGAACTGGAGAATAGATATTTATTATTCATAAAGGGTTATAAATACTAGACTTTTATTGGTTGAAATAAGTCAAGCAGAAACCATTTCCTTTGTAACCAGAGAGACACAGGGTTGTTGGAGTTTAGGGATTATTGCTATATCCACGTATGCTAGTATAGTCCTTGAAACAGCTGTATGGAAGTTATCTCAGGGGTTTAAAGGTAGATTTAAATGAAACTAATTAAGTTCATGATAGATTTCAAAGTCTACTACTGATACTGGAAATACCTTGTAAAAGTCTATTGGTTAGTGTTTCTTTGTTTAAAAAAGGTGGTGTTGGCCGGGCGTGGTGGCTCACACCTGTAATCCCAGCACTTTGAGAGGCCGAGGCAGGCGGATCACAAGGTCAGGAGATCAAGACCATCCTGGCTAACACGGTGAAACCCCGTCTCTACTAAAAATACAAAAAATTAGCCAGCGTGGTGGCGGGTACCTGTAGTCCCAGCTACCCCGGGAGGCTGAGGCAGGAGAATGGCGTGAACCCAGGAGGTGGAGCTTTCAGTGAGCCAAGATGGCGCCACTGCACTCCAGCCTGGGCGATAGAGTGAGACTCTGTCTCAAAAAAAAAAAAAAAAAAAAAGTTGGTGTTTTATATACATATATATAAAATATATATTATATAAAATATATATATACACACACATATATATACACATACACACAGACACATATATATGTATGTGTACACAGATACACACATTATATTCTAGTATAGATTGATTATAGGGAGCCCTCACTTTGCATCTTAATAATCAATTAAAAAATAATGAGTTCTATGACCTTAAGAATTTTTTGCCAAAGCATTAAAAATATTTTAGTGTAGGTTATTAATATATAGGAAAATCGAAAAAATAGTACAGCTAATATTTATTTAGTACTTGATAATTTAAAATGTTAGAAACATTGAGAGTTAAAATGTTTCATTTCTTTGAGTAAAACTTGGGAATAATTTCAACATGTTTGCTTTTCATTATATAGCTTATGATATGGAACATTTCTTTTCTTCTGTGAACCATTGTACTCCTTTTTGAGTTTGGCCAAAATGTTGGAAGCTGATCCAAAGTTGTGAAGTAGCTGAGAGTTCCTTTAATGTTAATCCCCTTGGGAATCTTCATCCTGTTCATTTTACAGCCGCCTTCCAATTTCTCATCCAGTATTGTCACTTTGTATTTCTTTGCTGCACTTTCTTTTTTGTTGGCTCATACTGTCTTTCGATTATCCACTTGTGTAAAATGTCCCGTGATTTTTATCCCTCTGGGATGAGGAGACAGCAGAACTCTCTGCTTTGCTGTTTGTGCCTGAACTGAATACGGGATGTGCAGGGACCAATCACCAGCAGGCTTTGAAAGAAGTGACATGATTCGTCACTGGTCGTGGTCCACATCTGTTATTCACATCATGATTTGCGAACTAAAGAGCTAGCAGTGAGGTTTGTATTTCCTGCAGTTACTCAGTTAGTATACCATGGTAACTGAAGTCTGAACCACATCGTTGGGGGACTGGTATTATTTAACTAAAGTATGATAACGGAAATTCACGCGTATTGGAACCATACCAAGTGAGGAGTGCCTGTATTCCAGTTATAGATTATCTGTAGTACATTTAAAGCTTGGCCTAGCTCCCTTTGCTTTACCCGTTACACACTGAGCCTGTCCAGTGTAGCCAAGCTGTGGTGTAGAAAATCAATTCAGAATTGAACTGAGAGTTTCGAAGTCATTGATTCGATCTTGGAGTCAGCTTTGACTTTCTCTTTTCTTACCCAAGACCTCACAGAGTAGATTGAGCACTAGTGCAAATATTTTTCAGACCCCATCCAGCATGGGGAGTTTTGATCTGCAGTCTACACCCTGAAGAAAGTTTCTGGGTTGTCACCTTTGTAATTTTTCCAACTCTGTCCTTCCTCCTCCACTTTCTCCCCTCTTCCTTGTTCCTCCTGTACCCATCATCAAGTTTTACTGATTTTCCCTCCAGCCTTATGTTCCTGCATGTTTCTTTTAGTTCCTGTTGCTATCATCCTAATTATATGGATTTCAATTGTTATAATAGTTTCCTAACTGACTTTCCCACTGTACTCTCTCTCCTTTCCAGCTAATCCCGCATGCCATCACCGGAGTAATCTTCCTGGAACACTCTTGCAGCTTTACTTAATCCTCCGCTTGAAGCCTCCAAAATAACTTACTGATTACAGAATAAAATCCAAAGCCCTTATCAAGCCTGTAATAACTTCCTTTGTCTGACACAAGCCTCCTTCTTCGAATTTATTACCTGATCTCTTCCCTTCCCTCAAGAACCCATAGTTTCAACAACATAGGTTTACTCATTATCTCCCAAATATGCCCACCACCCCTCCTTTCTACACATTGTCTTCCTAAAATGCACTTTTTGATGTCGTCTGAATCTTCACCAGTTTGAAAAACTTATCCTGAATGATCTCTTCTGTGAAGTCTATTTTGACTTCCTAGAAATGTCTTTTCTCCTCTCTGCAGTTCCAAAGGATTTATATTTCATACTTTCCAGTTACTGCTTATTTGCTGATCTGTATTTTTATTTATGTGCTATTTATTTTCTCCATTTAGATTTTAAGTCCTAGATGGGCAGGGACTGAAACTTCTATACCACCAAGAATGGCATTTGACAGAGTGATAGGTATAAATCTATCCCTGCCCTCATTCAGTATTTTCTGGGTTTTTGTTGTTGTTGTTGTTTTTTTTAGCATTTCTTCTAGACATTGGGCTATGTGCTAGCAGTAAAACATAACAAGGTAACTTCCCGACCTCACAGAGCTCTGGTTGAGTGAGGCATACAGAGAAGTAGTCAGTTGATTGTAATGCTGTAAGATGCATGGAATGATGGATAGTGAATCAGATTCATGGAAGCAAGAAGATAAGTGTCAAGCCTAGATGAGGGGCAATGGGAATGCTTCTAGAAGTGAGGTTCAGGCAGAGTCTGAAAGATACATAGGAATCAGGTAGTTGACGGGGGCCAGATGGAAAGAATGTTCCAGGCAGAGGACTCAGTGTGGATAAAGATCTGGAAGGGTGAGAGCACACTGAGGAACTGAATTAAGTTCCATGTAGCTGTATTGTGGAGAATGAGGTAAGATTCCTAAGTGATGAGGTTGCAGAGGATCCCTGTAATGGGCAAAAAGTTGACATCTTTGGTGAATGTCCAGGAGGGAGGACTTCCAGGATCAGATGTTTGAGTAGATAAAATGAGGGAGCAGCACCCAGGTTTTTCTTAAGGATCACTTGGTGGATGGAGGTATTGGAGGGAAGACAATGAGTTCAATTTTGGACATTGTGAATTTGAGGTGCCTATGAAATACGTGCATGGTGACATATAGTTGTAGACAGTTTGAAGCTTGGAAGAAAGCTTTGACCAGGAAATAAAAATTTGGGTGACATCAGTATATGATAGAATGAAATCATAGAGAAAGAGTGTGTAGAGTCAGTAAAGAAGACTTCAAAACCAAACCTTAACACACATCAGTATATAAAGAACAAGTAAAGAGAACAGAGTCTGCAAAGAATGTTAAGATGGAATAGGCGGGAAGAAGGAGCAAAATAGGTGAGTGAGGTGTCCTGGAAACCAAGGGAAGACTGAAATCCATCCATTGGGTTTAGAAACGTGGAAACTGAAATCCATCCATTGGGTTTAGAAACGTGGAAACTGTTCATGACCCTAGTAAGAATAGCTTTTGTATAGAGGAGGGGCAGGGAAAACATAAACTGGCCCAAGATAGATTGTAGCACATTGAGAAGTCAACAGACAATTATGGTGGAAAGTTTAGTTACGGAGGAGAGGATTTAAAGAGGGTGGAAGCTGGAATGAAATGGAGCTGAGGGGCTTTTATTATAATATTGTCTAAGCTACTGGAAATCTGTGATGTTTAAAGGCTGACAGGAAGAATTCATTAGTGATAAAGAGGTTGACCATAAGCTAAAATAGCCAGAGTTATAACTCCTCTTAAAATTATTTGCTCAGTCTGTCCTGTTATCTTTCAGTATTCTAAATAAGTTAATTCCAGACTAATTTTGGGCTTCACTGAGATCTTGTTACACAAGATTGCAAATTCCTGTAAAGTATGATTCAAACTATTCTACTTATTTGTTCTGGGTAGCATTTAGTGTCTTAAAGAGAGAAAAATTTCAACAAATATTATTTTTATTACTGTCATTTGTTTCTTTGTTTATTCTTTGAGCAAATATATGTAATTTTTAATTTTTTGTGGGTACACAGTAGGTATATATATTTATGGGGTACACAAGATGTTTTGATACAGGCTTGCAATGCGTTATAATCACATCCTGGAGAATGAGGTGAGCAAATATTTATTTAATGTCCATTGTATGCCAGACATTTTTCTAGGTGTCAAGGATATTAAGGTTACCAGGCCATATACACTACCAGGCCATACATACCACTTGTTCTTGAGGAGTTTATCATGTAGGGAGTCAGTTAATGAAATAATTATGGATTGCAAATGGTACTTAAAATGGCATGGTGATAGACAATAATCCTGAGTGGCTACTGTATATACTAATCTTTTCCTATGAACTTTTCTTTACATTGTTGGAGGGAGAATAATTACAAGCTATTAAAGAGTTAAATGACTTAAGATGGAAAGAAAAAAGTAGTGAGTAACAGAGACTACTTTTGGCATAGTGAGTTTACTCCTCTGTTTACCATTTCTAAAGTTCGTGGGACTCTGATGCCTATAATGGGATGTGTGTTTTGCACGTTTTGTTGGTTGATCATTCCTTAGCCTCTGAGAGACTAACAGACTCTCCACTTTTTCTCTTTTCCCTTTCAGTCATTTGCCATCTACCATGTATGAATGGTGGCCAGTGCAGTTCAAGGGACAAATGTCAGTGCCCTCCAAATTTCACAGGAAAGCTTTGTCAGATCCCAGTCCACGGTGCCAGCGTGCCTAAACTTTATCAGCATTCCCAGCAGCCAGGCAAGGCGTTGGGGACGCATGTCATCCATTCTACGCATACCTTGCCTCTGACTGTGACTAGTCAGCAAGGAGTCAAAGGTAAGCTTTTTTCTTTCTGCCCATTTGCCAGACCTCTGTTAACCTGCCAAACCCACATAGAAGTCAAGGATCTGCAGATGGCCGGGGGTGGTATTGAAACAGAAAGGAGTACATGATTTGTGGCCTGAGAAATGGCAGTAGAGACAGAATGTGGGCCCAGGTATGTAGCTGCAGTTCTTTCTAGGCCATAGAGAATTGGTATCTAGGAAAAAAGAAAATAAAAAGGAGCCCATTTTTCTCTAGTGACTCTTACCCCCAAGAGCTAATAAATGTGCATGGCACTGTTCTGACAAGGCCTGGGAAACGGGAAGATGAACAAGACAGTGTTCTGGCCCTTACAGCATTAATAAGCTAGTGGATCGCACAGTACCTGCTGGTGAACTTTGTAATTAAAGAATGCTTGGTTTCAGTTGTAAACGATCATTTAACCTCACTGGACTTCAATTTGTTCATTTGTAGAGGAAAGTAAACTAGGTCACTTGGAGCTCAAAAATTCTATGACGAATTCATCCTTTTAAACCTGGCATTTTTATAAATGCACACTTTTGAAAAGGGGGTCATAGGAGTTTACTGGCTCTAATTCTTTAAAACATGAATCCTTGCATCAGGAGATGAGATTTTTGTTTGAAAGCTGTAGAACGTAGCTTGTTATAGATAAAAAATAATGCACTTTGGTATTTTGTGTGTGTGTATGTTACAAGTAGCACAAAAATAACAGGTACTCTATTGTTTAAGGGTAAGAGAATTGTGCCTTGTAAAATTGGGTTTTTTCTTTTAATAGAAAAATGTAAATCCTAAAATTTTTATGATAGAAATTGCATGAGAAATTCAAAACTAATCAAATGCTTGATCTTTCTGATGAACATTTGATAAAATTTATCTGCTTAGAACAAGCAGGATGCATTTCACAGCTTTATGACTTTGGAAAAGAATATTTTAGTCTCATGAATATGTTACTGTTAAAAGTTTTAATTTCTCTCTATAATTTCAAATTTTAAAAAATACAAATTCAGGCTTAATTTTTATTTTGCATGTGCCCTTAAGAATTTTGATGGCTATGCAGCAAAGTGCTGCACATTATATAAATATGTGTGCATGTGTGTTTATAAAATTTACTTTCATGTTTTAAAACTTTTGGTTTGCCTGTTAGTTATTCAGGACTAACAAGTTTTCCTCTCAATCTGTTTTAGTGAAATTTCCTCCTAACATAGTCAATATCCATGTGAAACATCCGCCTGAGGCCTCCGTCCAGATACATCAGGTTTCAAGAATCGATGGCCCAACAGGCCAGAAGACAAAAGAAGCTCAACCAGGCCAATCCCAAGTCTCTTACCAAGGGCTTCCTGTCCAGAAGACCCAGACCATACATTCCACATACTCCCACCAGCAGGTCATTCCTCACGTCTACCCTGTGGCTGCTAAGACACAGCTTGGCCGGTGCTTCCAGGAAACCATTGGGTCACAGGTAAGCATCATCACCAAGCCTGCTTTAGTAATGTGTTACAGATATGGTATCATTTTAACAAGAAAGCCAGACTTGATAAAAATGGTTTTTATAAAAAAGGCTTTAACAAACTATGACTCGTGGCCATATTTTTGTAAATAAAGTTTTATTGCCACACTCATAGCCACACTAATTCATTTACATATTTTCATGCTATGACTGCAGAATTAAATAGTTCCAGTGAGAACACATGGTCTGCAGAACCTAAAATATTTACTGTGTGTCTTTTTACAGAAAAAACTTACCAGTCCCTGATGTACAGAATATATTTATTCATTTGTTTATTGATTGATTGATTGAGTTGGAGTCTCACTCTGTTGCACAGGCTGGAGTGCAATGGCACAATCTTGGCTCACTACAACCTCCACCTCCCAGCTTCAAGTGATTCTCCTGCCTCAGCCTCTCAAGTAGCTGGGATTACAGGCACATGCCACCACTCTCGGCTAATGTTTTTATTTTTAGTAGAAACGGGGTTTCACCGTGTTGGCCAGGCTGGTCTTGAACTCCTGACCTCAAGTGGTCTACCCACCTCGTCCTCCCACAGTGCTGGGATTACAGGCATGAGCTACTGTGCCTGGCTTCCAAAGATGTTTCTGGAAGTCCATGATTACCTGTTTCTATTTTTTCAGTTAGGATGATCTGTGTATAAAACATGTGTCAGGCATGAGATATGGTATAGAATATATATTCCGCAAAGATGCTTGAAAATATTTTTGCCTTTTGCAATAGTTTTGTTCATGAGTTTTGAATTCATTGTGCAATAATAATTCATGTCATCTTTGACAGGAAGTAATATTTCATGTTATCTTTTATTTTCTTATAAAAATTCAGGCCAGGTGCGGTGGCTTATGCCTGTAATCCTAGCATTTTGGGAGGCTGAGGCAGGTGGATCACCTGAGGTCAGGAGTTTAAGACCAGCCTGGCCAACATGATGAAACCCCATCTATACTAAAAATGCAAAAATTAGCCAGGTGTGGTGACAGGCACCTGTAATCCCAGCTACTTGGGAGGCTGAGGCAGGAGAATCGCTTGAGCATGGGAGGTGGAGGTTGTAGTGAGTTGAGATCACACCACTGCACTCCAGCCTGGATGACAAGAGCAAGACTCAGTCTCAAAAGAAGGAAAAAAAAAATCATAAATTGCAAGGTATAGTGCAGGAGTTGCTTGAAGTATAACTTTAGGCCTATATTTATATCATAAGGTGAGAGAAAGGCAAAATTTTCTTTAAAACTCATCATTGAATGTGCATGGTGAAGATAACCTAAAAGTATTGGTTCCTGCACTTTATTATGTGATAATGATGGAGGCTCCATTCTGTGGTTTCCCTCCTGTCTTTTGGTTATGGTTTAAACCCCTCATGAGAAGACTAGATGAGATACATTTATTATTATTCCTCTGCTATGTCTTGAATATTAAAAATATATCATGTGTGTGTATATATGCATGTGAAATACTTGGGGGTAATAGAACTAATTATCACTGCTTTAGACACCTGGGAAACACTTTTAGGTACTAAATCAGTGGTAGGATTGTCACCTTTCTTCTAGGAGAAGGAGGGAAGATTGTTGACCTGAATGGAAGGCAGCGTGTGGGAATGGAAAGAGCATCCTTGTGGAGTTGTGAGACCTTGATTAGAGCTGTGAGCCCAGCACTTGGCAGGAGGGAAGCAGCTTCCTTATCTGCAAAGTAGAGATAAGACGTGGGGCTCATGAGACTTTGTTAAGATTAATCAAGATAATTGTGAGCCCTGCTTTGCAAATATTATAGAACTATGCAAATATTAGCTTAGAGAATATTTATCAAGATAGAGTCAAACTTAAGCAACCATCTACTATGACTGTTTTTATATCATGTGCTTTCAGTAAGACAGGGACAGCATCGATCCCACAAACACAGCCCTCATTGGCCTGTGGACACCTGAAATGCGACTACAGGGGACCTAACGTGGCTTTTCATTCCCCAGTTTTGCAGATGCTTTTGGGAGAAGGAACACCATCAATTTAAATGTAGCTTAAAAGTAAAGACAATGTTTATGCTGAGGGTGGGTTTTGACAAAGACAGTGGGGCTGAAGATAAACTTTATACACTTCACAGCTTTGCACTGAACTGCTCTTGGAGAGGGAGGACAAATTTGGTGCCATTTGCATTGTTTAGTCATTCCAGCTTAGGTTGGTCAGGGAGAAAGGAAAAAGCAGATCTTTTTAAAATTGTGTGCCCAGTACCTTCCTCCCCGTTTCCAAGTTGGAACACAGATGATAAAAAGCAAGAAAATGAGGCATAACAAACTTGTTATTCTTGTACAATATTAGGTGATTGCTGACAAGAAAAGATGAAAAGATACTATTGACTTGTAAGCCTAGAGTATACAATTGAAATGAATTGGCTAATTGATGGAATTACCCAAATAATTAAAACTCAGCGGGATACTTTTGTCTTATCTGCATACATCTCTGACTTTTGGTCTAAAAGATCCAGACAGTGATCTCAATTCTTAATTCATTTTGCATGTGTATTCACTCATACACAGCTTCAAAATAAGACCTATTTTTTGGAAAGCATTCTCAGTATATATTTATTGGTCTTCCTGTTCATGAGGAATGTTGCTGGATGCCAAAGGCTGCCCAATTAATTTGTGCAATTAGGGTGAACAAGGCATTTAAAAAATACATTACTGACAAATAATCAATAGTGTTTAGGTGTATCCTACAATCCTACAAAGGAGTTTGAAAACATTTGTGCTTTCTTGCTGTGGTTGGTTTGCAAACGTAGCTATAATCAGGAGTTATAGGTAGATTTTAAATGGCAGAAAATCAAAAACAAAAACAAAACCCTGGATAAATGCTCACTATTGTTTGCTCAGTGGAGCCCTCTTATTAGTTGCAAATGTCAACCATTGAGACTTTTAATGCAACAGTTACCAATAAACATCTATGTGTATATATTGCTATGAGAGGTCATATACAAAATAAATTTGACAGAGATAGCCCTTGTTTCTGTGGCACATTCTAATAATTAGGTAGTAAACGTGGGATTGAAAACTCAAGATGAACTGTGATCAATGTATTTAAATTCAGGAAAGCTTTGTAGAGTAGAATTTCAGAACTGTTTGGATGGTGGAGGAAAATGGATGATTGATGAGGAAACCAAGCTCACAGAGCAGAAAGGGAGAGTAATTAAACAGAGGAAAGAGAACAGTACAAGAAATGGGCAAGGAAGAGCTGTCAGAAGAGATCAGAGAAGTAAAATAGCTTAGGATTCTTGGCAGGCTCTTGCGCAAATATTAAGCCTCTTAAATCTGAGGCATAGTGCAGTATAAATGACTTGCTGGCAAGGTCAGCGTGTTAGGAAGCCCCTTTGACCAAGTGGTCAACTCAGCATCATTAATAGTGGGGCAGTCTGACCTATGTGCCTCCTGCTGTGAGACAGTATAGAGTTTGCAGAATTACCTATGAAGCATTCTTGCCAAATATATCTAACCTGAATCTAATCAAACCCTTAGACTTAACCCCAAGTTTATAGGGAATATGAAGGGTAAAGAAACAAGTTAAAAACATCACACTCAGACAGAAAAAACAATCAGACATTTACAATATAGGGCATTATTGCCTGGTTTCTTAAAAAAAAAAAAAAAAACAGTGTAAAAGAAAGTGAGATGATGTTTGTAGGAAGAGACTACAGAGACACAAAAAATAAGTATAATATATTCACCTTAATTAAATCTTGATTAAAAAAAAAAAGCCAGATCTAAGAGATTTTGGGAATAGTTGGGGAAATTTGGACGTGAGCTCTGTGTTAGTCCGTTTTGTGTTGCTGTAACAGAATGCCACAGACTGGGTAATCTATAAAGAAAAGACATTTATTTCTCACTGTTTTAGAGGCTGTGAAGTTCAATATCAAGGTGCCAGCATGTGACCAGGGCCTCCTTACTAAGTCATCCCATAGCAGAAGGACAAGAGAACATGAGAGAGCAAAACGGGGCTGAACTTGCTTTCGTAACAAGCCCACTCTGGTGATAACTAACCCACTCCCAAGATAATGCCATTAATGCATTCATGAGGGAAGACCCTCTTATTAGGTCCCATACTCCTAACACTGTCGCTTTCAGGGGATTAAGTTTCTAACATATGAACTGTGGGGGACACATTCAAACCATGGGAAATGTCGTTAGATGATATTTTGGCATTATTAGTTTTCTTGTGTGTGATAATAGTATTGCAATTATGTAGGAAAATGTCTTTATTCTTTTTCGTTTGTTTTTTTTGAGATAGAGTCTCACTCTGTGGCCCAAACTGGAATGCAGTGGTGTGATCTCAGCTCACTGCAACCTCCGCCTCCCTGGTTCAAGGGATTCTCCTGCCTCAGCCTCCTGAGTAGCTGAAGTTGCAGGCATGCACCACCACACCCAGCTAATTTTTGTATTTTTAGTAGAGACGGGGTTTCACTATGTTGCCAGGCTGGTCTTGAACTCCTGACTTCAGGTGATCCACCTGCCTCGGCCTCCCAAAGTGTTAGAATTACAGGCATGAGCCACTGCACCCAGCAGGAAAATGTCCTTATTCTTAATAGATGAATGCTGAAAGTTTTAGGGGCGAAATTCCATGATGTTCATAATTTACAGGCACACTTTGTTTTATTGCATCTCACTTAGCTCTTTGTGTCTTTTACAAATTGAATGAAGGTTGTGGCAACCCTGCTTATTGGCAAGCAAGTTTTTCTGACAGCAGGTTCTCACTTTGTGTCTCTGTCACATGTTGGTAATTTTTGCAATATTTCAAGACCTTTTCATTGTTATATCTGTTATGCAGATATGTGTGATAAGTGATTTTTGTTACTATTGTAATTGTTTCGGGGCATCACAAAGCACACCCATATAAGATGGCAAACTTAATTGATAATGTGTATTCTCTGACTGCTCTACCAACTGGCCATTCCCCCATCTCTTGCCCTCTCTTCAGTCATCC